CATCCATCGAAGGTTTGCCCTCACCCGCTGCTTTTCACAAAATAAAGATAAATTATTAGGGATGTAACAATTAATGAAAATGTGAATCCATTCAAAAAAATGAATGAATTGATTTCATTGTTAACAGTATCTTTTGCTATGAAACAAATTCAGTTTGATACTTGATGATGTTGTGATGACATTTTTAGTGTTACAACAGACAGCTAGTTTGATAAAAGGACAAAAATGCTGATGTTAAAAGAAAAGAAACATATTTGATTATAAAATGGCTACAGCTCATTTTGTTGAGGAAGAAATAAATAAACTTGTAAACATGAACTTTGWTAATCAAGTTGAATCGAGGCTTGAGTGAATCATTACATCCCTGTATATTATTATTTAAAGTTTAAGGTTTGATTTTTCTTTACTTTATAAAAATACTCAATTGTTTACCCCTGTAGGAAAATATGTGAGGAGGCTCAGAAAACAAGAGRTTGTGCTCTGTTGTTAACACACCTTTTGTTTGTATTTGTCATTCTTGCTCCAACAGGAAAAAAATGGAATTTAGAGAATTATAATTAGGGGTTAAAGTTGTTATTTTCTTTTTCTGGAATCTCAACCATCTTTTAAAAGGGTCTGTCCAATGTTCACGTAACTCACCTGATGTTTACATCTCATGTCAGCCTTGTTGATGTCTTTAGGGTGTCTTAAGGCTTGTGCAACAATGTAAAATGTGGCCTAATACTACACYAGCTCTTCAGAATTGACTTGGTTAATAATTATGTAAGTAAGTAAGTTAACACCTGTATTAATGTTTAACAGAAATGGAATTCAGTTTTTCATGTTTACCTTGTGAAATTTGAATTGACGCCACTGAAACATCTCCAGCACCTAACCCATATGCTGGAACTGCTTGCAGTAATATAAACGTTGTAAAATAGTCAAATAAAATCTTGATTGTTTTCAGGTAAACACACATGGTCAGGTATTTGTCCAAAAATGTGCCCTAATTTGTCAGTTCTGTGTGTAAAATGACCCAAAACCAAATCTGAGCAAGTCTGAGCTGATGCCTTAAAAGTAATTTAACCAATTACACTTTTAAACATTCAAATGTTCGATTTAACAACCTCCAAACTGAGTAAAAAAAATATGGCTCAAATTAGTCTTCATTACTGGCCTTCAAAACCTGGCCTGTTTTTCGCTTTTATTTTGAAAAATAAGAATAATTTGCAGTCACACTTTAAAATAAATTCCTGTCCTTTTTATTGTTGTTAGTTGTGACAAATTGTGCTAAACAAGTAAGAAAACTGTGCTTTTATTTGATTTGTTCCCATAGCTAAAGAACACGTTGCCTTTTTGTAATAAAAATGTTATTTGCGTTCATGTACTGAACTATTAAACATTAGTCCAATTCCCTTAGAGGCACAGAAGACAATCAAGGCTAAACCAGCACACAGAACTTCACAGTATTGATATAAAAGTCATAATAAAGAACTGTGTAAAAGTGCAACCAAATCACTACGTCTTTAAATTTGTAATTTAATCCGTGTGTGTTTCTGAAGGGCTAAATCTGACACGAGACAATTCCCAGCTCTCCACATCTGACAGCAGGGTGGCACAGTCACAGCCATGGTTTTGCCATTATGGCTACAGATCTGAGATTAATTTTAAATATTCACACATGTGAAACTAAAGCAGCTGTAACRAAAACACGCTGGCCTGTAATGGAAGTAGTTTTTTTTCCATTATTATGTTTATTGACAGCAGGATGAATTAACAAAAGATTCTTTATTAAGCAAAAGTCACAGAGGAAAGCAGACTGCACTGCTGATGACCTCATGTTTTTCCAGAGCAGCAAACAGGCTGGAAACACTTTGCACTGCTTTGCACAGGACCGGGCATTCAGCATGTCAAAAGATAACCAGGTCATTCGCATTCCTTTGCGCAGCTTGTTTTAACATGGGCAGTGCTTGTCCACCAGAGCCGTTTGCCCCCAAAACATGTGGTTTGTGTGGTATCAGCTGCAGATAATTCCAGCCTGTGGAGCCAGGATCTGAAGTGGTCAATCAAAGCTGTAGCAGAGGTTGAGCTTGTCCCGACCTCCAGTGTGYGTCTTTAGATAAATCAGGTGTTTTCCTGAAATATGAATATTTGCTTTCAKCCATGCGTGGTGCAACAGAGATGCAGAGTAATATTTTGCAGTAAGTATGGTTTTGAGTTTGGACCATCCTCAGCCCACAACTTCTCTTTGTACTTTTAACTTGGCAATGTTTGCAGTCCGCAGCGCGGCCGCTTTATTATAGAGGAATAGTGAGTGGGAGGAAGCGATGAAAAAAGGGAAGCAAAATCCACATGCCAAAGCTCAAAACCAAAAGTACAGATGAACGCAGCAAAGGAAGCAGATGCTTTGTTTTAATTCATATTGGTGTAGTGAGTGTAATAACACCACTACACTCCCTTTACACCAAGAAGCCTATGATTTGTCACTGAGCGTAAACGGCTTTCTCTCGTGGTCAGCTCATCTGTTTTCTCCGAGGGAGGGTTCAGCATGGGAACTGCGCTTTGGTGTGGACCGTGGAGCGAGTACTCAAACAACATGAACATGTGCCAGTACTGACTCATGGAAAGTTTAAGGATGCCAAGAGGTGTATGTGTGTGAATCTGCGTGAATTGAAAGGAAGTGTGTTCTCATGTGGATCTCTTCATCCAGCTGCACATCACAATGTTTTTCAGGTCTTAAATCACTGACTGTGGCCACTTTTTTTCTGTTTGATACCAAAAACTGGGCTGGTACTGTAATTTATTTCCAGTGAGAAACTTGTGACTGTAGGAAAGATAAGTGAAATTGAAAAAGCTGTGTTTTTTTATTTTTCTCCTCTACATTAAACTTTATCTGACAGCTGTAGACTGCTAATTTATAGATGCAAACTTGTTTAATGATGATGACATCTAGGAGTAAAACAGTAGGCTGCCTCTACAAGTTATCAACATTATACTCTCCATCCCCACTTGGCAATATCACTTGCTTTAGACGTTTCAATGAGTAGTTTTAATGACGGTTTTTGCCTCATATATTTCCATTTATTACGCAAGTCAAGTGAAATGGCAGCGCTCCATCTCTTCAGCTCGACAAAAATGGTTTTGGCCTCTTTGCCCTTTAAGGAAACGGTGCTCTCTGCACAGCGGCAGCTCAATGCACCATTCTCACACTGCAATGAGTTCATATATTTAGGAAATGCTTCGAAGGAAAATTCCCCATCTGGCCAGGAAGTGTGTAACAAAATATGGGTTCAATTTCTCTTCAATTCAGACATAGTTCCATGAAGACATATAAACAAAGCTCCTGGTCTTTTTACCCCACTTAAAAAAAAAAAAGAAGAAATTCTCATCAATTTCCCGCTGGTCTGTTTATTCAAGGTTCAGCCTTCAGTAGTCAGGAGAACAAGAGGAAATAGCTGGGTTTTCCATAAACTGTACAGTGTTACAATTAGGCCATGTCAGTAATGATTTGTCCTTTTACTGCACAACAGAACTCGTTGTTTTAGCCTGGGAGTAGAAACGCAGACGTCTTAGCTCTATTTTATTAGGGCATGGATAAAAGCCTTTTTCAGTGTTGATGAATGGTTAGAAAATCAGATTTATGTGATATGATTCTTTGAAGATGTCTTTGTTCAGTTTAGTGGGACACTGTCTTCATTAAGGCAAGCATTTTAGTTAAAATAATTCAAATTAATGCATAAAAAGTTTTTCACATTATTATTAAAGATGTCTAATTATGATGACAGAAGATATTAGCAAAAATGTAAAGTATAATTATCAACAAGATTGTGGAAAATCTTTATAAACTATCCTATTTTCCTCCGTAGCAAATCAAAAGTTTTGTATACTTATTTTTAGATTATTTTTTAAATTTGTTTACTGTTATTTAACCAGGCAAGACCCGATCTTTTTCAAGGGTGGCCTGGGCCTGAAGTCAACCTATGGTACATATTTTGGGGGGTGGGGGAAACCAGAGTACCCAGAGAAAACCCACGCAAGCACGAGGAGAACATGCCAGAACCTTCTTGCTGTTAGGCATCGCTGCTAACCACTGACCTGCCACCAAATACATCTGTAATGACGTTCCATAAATAATTGAAACATGAATAGAAAAAAATTAATTTCATATGATTTCTTCTCATCTTAATAATAATGACATACAAAAATCATAAGAAAATGTTTTTATTTGATCCCTATCTTCACTCTCTTATGACATTGTGGTGGCTGGAGAAGAAAATGAGGCAAGAATATTCATTTAGATCTCTGGGGAGCTTAAGTTTTTTTCACGCCGCCCCCTGATTTGAAATCATATTGAGAACCTGATAATATTARTTAATTATCTGTAATTAATTAACTGTATGACTTTCTGGCACCAGTTCTCTGCTGCATATAATATAGAACACCTGATAATGAGTGGTAAGGGAAACACTGCATTACATAAAATAAAAAAGATCATTATTTTCTTACCTTTTTTTTAATTTTTGCTTTGATATAAATCTGATTTTCTAATAAATTATTAATTTTCTTTTATTATTACAGCGGGTAAAATAAGTATTGAACACGTCAACATTTTTCTCAGTAAATATATTACTAGAGGTGCTAATG